ATCCCTGGATCTCCGCTATTTAGTTTAGTTTAATTACGTTTATGATGATGATGTTAAGGTCCATTGAACATCTACCTTGTTGGCTTCGGGTCATGTTCACTGAACCTTAACAACTATCAGTATAAATTAGGATTAGTTCTCATTTAGGTTTAGTTTACTTCAGTCCCTGAAGAAGGTAACTTTGTTACCGAAAAGTGCTTCGGACAACTACAGTGTCGTGTTTTGGCGTTGGGGTTTTGAGCTTTTCTGTTTGTTCTACAACAACCGCCAAAGTTTTTCCAATCTTCATATTTCTATATTGTATTTATTATGATTTTATTTCATTTTCTAAATTTAAAAAATTAATGACAAATAGAACAAAACAAACTTTCTCATTAATTTTTAAATTCTATTGACTTTATTTTTAGTTTAATTTTGTTTTTCAACAATGCAGTGAACTTAAGAAATAATATTTGCTAAGGTACGGAGTATATAGGTACATAAAAACTATCGGCATGTTGATCAAACTTGCACTTTTTAAAAATAACCTAACCAAAAACTACTAACAAAAAACTCCATACTATTTTTACTTTTCGATTTTAATTATATTTAAAGGTCGTTAAAACGAATGGTATATTAAGAATCTTATCTCTCGCCATGTTCCAGTTTTAATTTTAATTACTTAAAGGGAGTTGAAACAAACCAAACATCAGAGGAAGCACGGATGAACAAATGCACAGGGTCGGCCTGACAAGCACTGTGCTCTCGCCGTGCAATTAATTTACACCGATTAGTCATTGTTCAAGTCCAATGCTTCGTCTGTTGTCGAGATGATAAAGAAAAAAAAGACTGGGAACGACGAGAATGAGAGAAAGAGAAGGCGAATAAGAAGATAAAGTGCCCAATTTTAACCCTAATGGAGTGTGCCGAATGATTAATACACTTTTCAAAACGAGAAACTAAGATTATTGTGAAAAACCAGAAGACGCCGTTGCACAATTTTGGAAACATCTTATGCAAACAAAAGAGGGCGCTTTCAGAAGAAGAGTTTTTTCTTTAAAATTCAATTAAAAGTGGAGTCCGGTCAAGTATGAGTGAGATACCACCATGAGAAAAAGAGGCATGCATCCCCATAATACTAAAGCCACCTGTTTACCATGTAGTGATTAGGAAGTAAATACGGAAAGACCTATTTTCTGTCCAACAATTTACCATGGACTTCGCCTTCCAAAACTGACCCTACCGATAGGTATAGGTCTGACGAAGGACGCTGGCGAGCGGTCGCGCAGGTACTTGCCCATTTATGACCTATTTGGGTATAAGTCACTTGAAACCGATACACAAATAAGCATTCAGTAGGCGTAAATTATAGTATTAATACAGATGGGACAGTAGTGTACTAGAAAATAATGTAAAAACATGACTTATCAAAAAGAAAAAATTAACCTATTGCTTTTGTTTTATAGTTAGTTTTCACATTCACTCTCATCATGGGAATCTCTATCACTGTCACCAACATCAACAATTAGTTCTTCTGTTTGTCTGTCTATTACTTGTTCACTGATCCCTATTTTTAAATATTTAATCTACGCCCCTGATAGGAATATTGAAGAGTGACGACTGCAATCTTTATACCTAAAACTGCCTACTTTTGCCACCGCGCATCCACGCCATTTTAAAATTTCCGCCAGCTTCCAGCGTCAGGCCTGTAGTTTAATAATAAACTTACCTTTGCTAGCGCCGTCAGGTCCTCGTAAGATAGTGCACTCTTCTATTGTACCGTAGGGTGCGAAAATTTGCCGGACATCTTCTTCGGTCTGTTGCTTGCTCAGCATGCCCACAAACAGCTTCCGGTCTGCGCTTGCAAAACAACAAAAGAATTATTAGTCGTGTGCGTCGGCATCTTTTTGATCACGCGACAAAGTACAAACATTCAGACAGTTCTAACGCAGGTGCAGTATCACAGTTCCGATTATAGGCAGTAATACAGTAATGCGATAAACTAAATAGCATGCATAAAAGTTTGGCTGCACACAACGGTCACGGAGAATCGCATTAAACTTTGGTCGGTATCATCTCGGACGAATTGGGTGATGTGTTTCGTCATATAATTAAGAACAACAGCGAGAGGCGTCTCTAATCACCTTGTACATTGACAGATCACGCAACAAGTTATACAACGACGAAGTAAGCGCCATTTTAAATTCAACAGTATTACAGCAGAACCTCGACGATTTAAACACCTGATACGTAAAACGGCCCACCATTTAATGTTCATTTTATTCCTAAGGTCGGTTGTCCACGAAGCCGATCTTACTACAGTCGGAATGACGACGGTTAGACAACAAACATCCGGCACGTATCCGATACGTAACTAATATCACTTCTATAACGACACGATCCGGCACGAGTCAGACAATGTATACTCTAAACACACGGCTTATAACGATCGGATCCGATTCCTCATCGACTATGTCTTTATTCTTTTCTTTATTAACGAATGTACCCTGAGATGAACATTCGCTACATGAACATGAATCTTTCGTCATATGTTCATATAAGCGAAGCCCTTTTCTGATTACTGTAGTAATTGGTCACTTGAAGTTGACATTTTGACTGTACTTAGATTAACTGCCCTCGATCTATTTTATACGGAATGAAGAATTCAATTTGATTAGGATATCAATGTCTTTTCACTTGATGCACTTACGATCCGATCCGGTTTCTGTCAACGTCCCAACCGTCCGACCACAGTTTGATCGGCTTCGTGTATAACCAGCCTAACGTAAAAAATGTACTAATGTTAATATTTTTGATTGTAGATTTACAATGCTTGGCGATTTCGCCTACAATTAATATTATTGTTTGCCTAAGTATTCATACGATAAGTAATAGCTCTTTAACTTCATGTTAAAGACATTTAAACTTTAACGTAACAATGGGGTTCTACTGTAGTACCTAAGGGCGACAGTATTTTAATACGAAACTATGTACCTTACTTATATAACAGCATCTGGTTGTAATATCGGAGCAAACTATACAAAAATTCCGATTTTGATGGTTCCAGGAAAGACTAACGAAGTCCTTGTATATGTCCTTGTTTTCTGCCTTGTTAAAGAATTTTAATGATGTATCGTCAGGACCAAAAGAAGTTAAAATTTAGTTTCTAACATAGAATTATTAGGTACATATACTGGGGATACATTCTAATAAATAAAAGTAAAACAACTATATATCATACAGAAATCGTTATCATTCTAATGAGTGTCTTGTTACGTTCAGAATAAAATAAGAAAGTTTGCTCTCACAATAAGTATTCTTCTTTTACGTTAACCTGACGAAATACTAGAAAGTTGTTAAAAATTCAGCTCCTTTGGTAGTCTATTTTTAAATACAGGAACTTGTCTGTAAATGGTGCATATTTTCGTTATTTGCAATTCAATAAACCCAAATCAAAAGCACTCTAGATCTATTCAGATTGTACAGTTAAAGCGGTTGTCTACGAAGGGATGAGGATACAACATTAATTGGAATGCGTTTGTCACATGTTGCAGCGAAACTTTTAGGCTTTTCGGTGTTTCGTTTTGGATGAATCATTTTCATTTGTAACGACGAATTGATGAAAAAAAATTTAGAGCATTTACGAAATATTTTTAGATATATCATAGGTACCTATGCAGGGCGCGGATACGGTAAACAAAATGGCTAGTTCTAAATGAATTAACAAAATGACAGTAGTACACAGTAATCTTAGTTTGTGGCAAAACGTTCCATCCTGTATATGTAAATTAGCGCGGATCGCCTGTTTCTCGATTAATATTTTTTTTTATTCTGCTGAAATTACTTTTTGACGTACGTCTTCAGAAAGTTTTTGTTACGACCAAAATTTTTTAAATGGTAAATGTAAAAAAAGTGAAGCCTTCACATTTAATANAAAAATGTAACCTTTTAATTTCGTGTTCGTTGCACGCAATGTTGTGTGTGGCCCTAATTTTATTAGCTCAGTGGGAATATTTAAGATTATATCATTAAAGTGGCATAAGAAAGGAAGTGTTTTGTCGTAAAAGTTGGTCAGCATCCCGATTGCAATTATAAGAATGATGGGGGGGGGAGTGAGGGAAAGGAGAAGATCAGAGAGAATTAGGCCCGTAAAGTCCTTAACGTTCATTCGTCATTAAAGAAGATTTTTTTATGGCGGTACGTTTTCATTATTCCACTTGGGTTATATACGTAAGTGGAGACGAAACAAACCGCCGTTAAACAAAAGAAACATTTTTATTTGGGTCGTTAAGGGACCTGTAAAAGTCTTCCGTTCGAAAAACTCCATCAAAGTAGGCCTTCAAAAAATAAAACGCCATTTTGACTTTGCGGTTTTCGTTTCTTCATCGCCTTAGCGGTATCGTAAAATTTTTGAATGCAGTGTGTTTAATGACCTACTATACCTTTATAATTTATAATTTTGATCAGTTTAAATTAGACGCTGTAATTATTTATAAAAGTTGGTTCAAATTGCCATATCTATAGATACATATATTACGATAAACGTTCAATATTTATAAGAGACAACTATAACATTTTACTGTTTAAGTTGTAAACCAAAACAAAAAAAAAGACTTACCGGCATAGTTTGACTTCCGTGTAAGTTGTTGATTGCCGCTTGTGCTTCTTGATGTGAACTGAATTTCACGAAAGCACAACCTAAAACAACAATAAAACAATTAAGAGGTAATTCATAAAATACAAAGCACCTAATGTAAGAAATGATAAGAATAGTGAAACTGGGAAGGTAGGTATATACGAAAGATAAGGTTACTAACAATTACAGTGCATATCAACGTTATATCGTTATATATTTACCTAGCGAAATTTGGGACAAAGGGGGTAAGGTAAGTACCAAATTTTTTTACCACCAATAACAATAGCTTAATTGAAACATTTTTAGAAGAATATTTGTACGGTTTTCTATATATTAAAGTGAATAGATTTTTATCAGTACAGATAATCTGAAATTAATGAGAACAAATTGTTGTTGCTGTCACGTCCTCGCCAGGAATCGAACCCGAGACTCTGGCTTTACACGCCATTGCTCTATCACTAAGCTATACGAGGTAACAGCAATAACAATGACTATCTTGCCTATCTACAGAATCATTGAACCAATGTATAATCATTTATGTCTTTAAAATAAAATTGTACTACATATTTATTTCAATGTTTTCTTATTGCGTCAAGATTATTGTCCGATTATTTTTGGTTTAGGTATATACCTAATTCTTTTTTGTTTTACTTTGAATAAATTTAATGACTTAAAGTTCAATCGGCAGTCATGCATTCAGCACATTTACAATTAAAAACTAAACCAGCTGAGTATGCAAATGGGAACCTGAATCAGTTCGGGATTGACTTGGTAGCCGGGAGTATCTTTCGATTCGCCTGTCGCGATAGTGCCTTATTTGCATCTTCAAATGGACGACGCATAGTTGGATGGGAAGTGAAGGGAGACAGGGGGACGGAGGTAGCATCGGCAACGGGACCGAAGCAGAAGATTCGGAATAGCGACAATTAAGGCTATTCGGGACCGCTTTAATCCAACTTTTATTTGGAATTTACAAGTAATTGGAAGTAAATTCTGTTCACGAGCCCGAGTTCAAACAAGGGCGTTGCCTGTGAACGCAAAAGAAGAGAAAATGGGTCTTTTGAGAGGAAAGATGTCAATTATATGTTCATTCCCTTGCCTGGCTTAAACTGCTTTGAGAAAGCACAAAAGGCATTTTGAAAAACAATGGAATTACAAGAACGTGACTTTATTAAAAGAAAAAGAAAAAACAATAACGCAACTACTACCTCCATATTTTGTATGTATGAAAATGTGGAGATTTCATTTTGAGTACCTTCTTGTAAAAAACAAAATTATTACCAATTGGACAATTTAAGAAATGGTTGGAGGCGTTCGAAATGTGGTTTTACAGGCGCATGATGATACTGTATATAGAAAACGTTAGAAATGAGGAGGTATTAGAAAGAATAGCAGAAAAGAGGATGTTATGGAAGTCAATACGAAATAGATGTGCTAGATTGGTGGGACACCTTCATGAAGGACAGTTAGGAATATTAGCTCAGGATGTGTCCAACTGACTGCATTCACAAGATTGTCAATCCTACGATGACGATGATTCTGATGAACAATCTAACCAACGAAAAGAGAAACAATTTGGGGTCATTGTAATTTATTTATATCGATTTCAAGGATAACGCAAAATGTTAGAATATGTTGACAAGGGTATCATGGAAACATTACCATACTAGCACACTAAAAATTCCTAGTATTTTTAGTAAAGTTTATAAGATAAAATTATTGGCCTAATATTGAATTTATCAATGCATGTTTCTTATATCCACTTCATAGTAACAAGCATGGGCGCAGCAAGGGTGGGTCCGGGGGTGCCTCAGCACTCACTCGATTGGACTCCAGTCAATTCGAGTCCATTCAGATAATAACACAACTTGAAAGTTCGGTTCAAATAGTTCAAGTTCGTAGTCAGTCAGGGCTAGACTCTTGACAAATAGTTAAGGATATTTTGGGGAAATGCGAAGCTAAACTCAGAATAGCGTGGACTGATGGAGGTGTGTGTCCAAACAGTTTTTAGACTGACGCTTCTACGACAATGATGATGAATTGAACTTGTACATTTTGTGCGTGAAAGAAAGTTAACAAGTCAAAGAAGTTCATGGTGGTTAGCGTTATATAAAATACTACAAACGCGCGCTATACGCCATCTGTAGTAGAGTCTGACAGTTTCGCCAGAATAATGACCACCATGAACTTCTTTATTCTAATTTGAGCTACGCCGTTTAATTAAATATTTTTAAAAGCAAATAAAGTTCTCGAAAACTAGTTCTGAAATTGTTACAGGAAATATTCAAATTATTACCCTATTATAAACTTTGATACCAGATCTATGGAAATTAAACTAATTGCAGGTATTTATTGCATGCATTATCTACATGACCTTTGCCCGTACAGAAATTCCCTCACTGCATTTAGTATAATTAATTTTCGCGACAGCAGATTTCCCAGTCTACACATTTGTCTAACTGATTTAAACGAGGTGAAATCATCGTTTTAATGTTTCTATGTGTCTGACTCGTGTTCCCCATAACGGCGTTCGCGTTTAAAATATTCCCTCAAATAAAACTGTCCGCGTTCCAACCGCTAACATTTCCTTTTGCTACATAAAACACATCATTAAAACTTGAATTTTTATTACACCACAATTTTATTACTGCGCATACTTACACCTAAAACAATGAGAAACGGGAGAACTTTTAAACAAATGACTACTAATAAAATCGATCACTGTTAGCCCAGGTTAAACAATTATAGGAGGATAAATGAAAAAACTTTAGATCTTCACTCTCGCCTTCACAGAGCACTGATGGCATATACACGCAAGGAAAATGTGGTGATCTTCTATTCCTTTAAATACTCTTCTGTTTACTTTCTGGAACCTTCTGGAAACATCCGGATGAAAATGTTTAACCGACAGGCAGATTCTATTACACGCATTTCAACTGCATAGAGTTGGAACGGTCGATGACGATTATGACGTAGGTAAGGCGGACGAGGCTTTTACTCCCCAACACTAACGGAACCAATGCGACAGAAGGCGATCAGATCGAGAACGATACGAGAGCGCTACGGCAAAACATTTACTCCGAAAAATCTTAATTATTAAACATATTGAAAATTAGGAAAAAATTATGAAAAGTATATATTTGTTATTGTTGTTTTCAGTAAACTTGCTAGATGCTAATAGTGCAATATCATCTGCAAATCTAAGCGTACTAATCTCTTGCCCCTGTATATCTATCCCTACAGTTGTACTGTCTTTAATGATGTTGATCGCGTCTTCGATGTATAGATTAAAAGTATTTGTGAGAGAGTGTACATCCCTGTCCGACTCCCTTCCTAATATCTACTTCTTTACGTTGCAACCCCAGCCCTATAACTGCCTGTTGCTCTTTATACAAACTAAGTATCACTCTTCTATATCTGATAATAACTATAACTCGATAAAGACATTGCTACCCTCTTCGGCCTTGAATCTTTTTTCATATTATATTATTATATTCTACAAACTTCAACAATTCCAGAAAACGTCTCTATCCTTTATTAAGACCCTTAGGTTCTTATATACAAAATCATGAAACTAACAATGGGATAAGAGATAATTCTTCTTCGAGTTATCTTTTTGAAAGTTTTTTTAAATCAAGTAACTGTGATGTTCTGCTTGGGCGGCTTGCTATAAGAGAAAGGTCTAGAAATCGTCTGTACCAACATAAATTTGAACTCGAGGACTTTGATATTCCTGGCAACGCATTTTCGAGTCCTCCCTTTTAAATATTCCTGATTGTATTCGTATTCGAAGAAATTTTTTAAGAATCTCAAAGTTCGTTGGTTTTGCAGTTAATTCGTGAAGTACGAAATCATGAATAGAAACGGGTCAAATCGAAACGAATTTAAAGTTCGTAAAAGCGAGATTTAATAGGCGACAAGTTAAAAAAGGGTCAACTATTTCAGTGCAAATAGGGTTAAAGTTAACGAGTGACGGTGTCGCTTCTTATCAACTGTTCAAAGTTAAACTCGGGTTCCGAAGAAAATTTCTAATTAAAGTTTTAAGAATCTTGAGGCGATACTTTGTGTGGTTCTCAAGGAAAAAAGTAAAAAAAAAAAAAATAAAGGATAGGTACGGCTAGGTTTGTAGAAAATTTCAAAGGAAACGCTTATTAACTTGTTTATGGACTAATTAAATTCTGACTCAGATATTTCTAAGCCGACGGTGGTTTTATTGTGAAGGTGGAAGGCCGTAGGTATTAAGTGCAGTAGACAGTCTTCGTTACCTCCAAATGAAGTTAATTAAAACAAATTTAATTGCCACGAACAACTACCCCCGGCGATCAAGTGTTTCGAACACAACGATAATACGTAACTCTGCCACCAGATGCATCTTCCTATCCCATATGTCCTTAATGTAGATCGAAACCCGAAGGAAATAATTTTCGGAAGTTTTTTCAAAGAAACAAATTACATAACAGATCTTCGTAAAAATATTGCTTATTATTACTAGTGTTGCCACAGACATACACTTCCGCTTCCGAAATTACGCAAGTTCCGCATACATTTTCACATTCTCGCTTCTGCATCTGGTTCTTTATTTTTATAATGGTACCTTATAGGAACTTAACAAAATTTTATTTTATATATAAGTATTTTTGAAAATCAATATA